TTATAGGGATGATCTCGCAGCGGCTGCTAAACTAGCACAATGCACTCGATTGCGAAACCAGGAGGCTTGCGACTTCATTGGGACCTGTATCATGGTTTCCACAACCGCACGCGGTGGTCGGTTGCATATGCCACAAGCTGGCACGCAGATTGCCGTTGCTTTGACGATAGGTGTACTGCAGCCCCCAGTGGTTTGGATTGCTGGCAGAGAACCACCCCCGCCGCCAGTTGTTCCACCTCGTCCTCGCTGTGGACCGCGCAGACAGCGGGGAAATGCTCCTACGTCCGTCGTTGTGAGCAGCTGCTACCGCGCAGGACTCTTTGCACTGTGTGGGAAAAAAGGATGTGGTGAGTCGGTGACGCATCGGCTGTGCTCTTGGACTTCGGTGCGTTGCTGTGAACCGCCAATGAAAAGCTCAAGAAGAAGCAAGAGGAATTCGTGCCAGTGCCACTGCATGCGCAGTGCCAAAGCGAGTACGCCGTTGTGGGCTGCTTGCATGACGCCATCGTTGCGGGCCGGAAAAAATGGGGCCCTCAGGGCATGTGCGAAGGGACACTCCGGACGCAGAGCTATAGGTCAAACAGTTCTTATAGGAATCTTCCGCCGCCGGCTTGCCCGGGAACTGCTTGAAATCTCTTTTGAATCCGAAATGGCCAAAGCACGACAATTTTTGCCTTTTGAGAAGGTCTCATCAATTGTACTTGGACTGTTAAATGTGGCACACAGCTGAGATGATTGCAACCAAGGCTCTTAGGACTGTGACACTGCACTTCAGCAGCTAGGTCATCAAAATTCTTGTTCTCAGCAAGTGTGTTGAATTTCCAAAAGCACTAAGTAAATGAGCTCCAAATGTTTGTGGGCTTGATCGAACACTTAGCAGCTTGATATGGATGATTGATTGAGATGCATCAAACTCCTGCTATCATCTTGGACAATTGCAAGACTGTCTATTGCCTTCTTGAAGTTGGCGAGCATGGTATTTGGTTATCTACGCTTGTCTTTTGTTGAATGGCTATGAACTGCTGACAAACATGCTAAATGATCTGCGGCTTCTGTGAAACGGCTTCATTTGTTCAATGAATAGGCCGGTCATTACGTGCAAGTCAGCAAGTCCTATCAAACACTAGCATGTTCCGCACACAGAGTTTTGTATCAACTCTGTGTTCTTCATGTCAAGCGGTTTCTTTATCAGTCCTTGCTGTCCTGATTTTCCTTTTCTTCCTATGGTCCTACAGCCGTTTCTCTCAATGATTCAGTTTGTGGTTTGCAGAATGTACAGCTCACCAGCTTCGGACACATGCAGTGCTCATAACATTGGACTGATAGACTGGGCAAAGCTGAACCCACCTTGAAAAATCACCTTGAATGTAAAATATAAAAGTGTCCAACCCCAAGTCAATCCACTCTTACACAGCAGGTCAGCTCACATTCTGGAGGTAAACTGTTAGATGACTGAGTGTGCATTCATTTCTGCACCAAGGGAGATCAATCTTAGCTCCCAAGCAACCCCCATGCATGTTGCAAACTCTTTTTCAGCTCGATATAGCCGTGACGGCCTTCACAATAACTTGAAGGAGCGCCATGCAACTGACCAATTGTCAGCTGGGCGCTCGAAAGGCAAAATGATCTTGTGTGTGGGAAGGACAACAAATGGTCTTGTATTGGAAGGTCAACAGCGGAGGTAAATCATGTAATCTTGGGGCTGAAAGGCACCTCTTGAGGGTATGGGACATACTTTCTTACTAATCACGGACCCCATATGTTCAATTCCTGTATTTATTGCCCTACCATGCTGCCAAAAGACCCTTAGGTCTTTGACATCCTACTCCTTATATTGCTCATATCTACTCATTATTTATGTACAATGTGGTGACAAGAAACACCCGTCCCGTCCCTAATACAGTAGATTTGCCTCAACGCTGCTTCTTCGCATGTGAAAGCTCCGGTGTACGGCCGGCTTAAAGTCTCGACAAGGTCGTTGACTTCTGCACATCATGGTCAAGCCGTCTCACCTGGGTGCATACATTCACATGCAAAAACTAGAAGCAATGGCCTCCAACCTAATAGCGAGGGCCTCCAACCTAGAAGCCCATTTGAGACATGATTGCAAATACAACTTTACTGTCGTAGCATTGCATGTCTGCATACAACCTATCCATTCACACCGATAGAGTGAAGAGCAAGGACGACTTCTACAGTATCTGGAATACAATCCACAGGTTGTCTATACTTACTCACCAATCCAGGACCCGTAAAATACCGCCTTTCTCACTGGGATGTGCAAAAGCACGCTTAAGCTTTAGCTGGGGCTGTCGCATCACCTCGTCGCACCGTCGCTTCACCTACCAGTAGATGCGGAAAAGAACCAATGGACTTGCACGTTGGTCTACATCTCGACCAGGACTGCTGTCATGACACAGTTTATCACCAGTTACACCTACATAGCTGTGCTTTCGGAACTGCAATGCGCTTGTTGATTGCCCAAGTGCCTATCCAAACATTCACCGCATAAGAGGACAAGCGCATGTCCAAATCAGCAAAATGAGAACACGTGCATTCGGTGGGTTGCAGGCCAATACCTTTGATCCGCATTTCTAGACTCAGTCTTCATCAAGCAATCTTGCCTGCACACTTGTTCGCACACAAAGCAGCCGCAATGCAGGCTCAGGAAATGATACTAATGACCTCGCTTGTTCTGTCCTTGATGTCTGGGGCTCCAAACCGCTGCTTCCCATGTGGCCATGGCTGGCCAGCGCACGTGGAGGTTCTACATCTGGAACACATCGATAGACCTAGGCTGGATAGCACATTGAAAGGCTTGCACAAGAGGACCTTGTGAATGAAAAAAGGTCGGCGCCTCCTAACCTTCTTTCTGTCTATCTCTTTTTCTTTAACATCCACTATGAAAAGATGCCATTTGACAAAACACAATTCCACAATAGGACCCGGCATGGTTGGCACAAATCTTTTGGGATATCTAAGCACTCGCGACAGTGAGAAGGTGCCCAAACCTTACTTTTTCTGACATTTTCTTCATTCAATCGTTGACTTCTTTTCACGTCTGTTCCAACAAACTGGATTCTCAAGAGCCCCAAACTCAAAGATCAGCTGCTAGATGTGACAAGGGCCATAAGGGAGCACAAATATAGATTGGTAAATCCAGGGCACCGCGAGGTCCTCTGCTGTGAGTTCATGCTTGTTCTGCAAGTACCTTGTTCAATGCACAAGATTGATAGGAATGTAGTCAACCTGGTCAACATCAAACACCGCTTTTGTGCACAATGGTGACTGCCGCGCGTGGAGGTTCCTCCATCGGCGTGTTGCAACATGTTTAGAAGCAGGTGAAGCACTAGTATTGGGTAGAAAGTCTTTGCGTTGGACAACTCAATCCAAGTGAAAAAGGGCTTCAACAAGTCTTTGACGGTGCACGTGGACTCATGAGCCAAGTTGAACATTCAAAAGCAAAGAAGCTAGAGGGGACTTCAGCTGACCTCAGTTGAGCTCTTTTTTTGCACAGGAAAACAACTGTCATTCTCCAAGCGCTGAGCTCATCATCAATCAGTTGGTTCCCTGTAAAGTCATCCTTGGTGGATGTGACGTGTTGTCAACAGCTATAAGAATCACTGTATATAATATAGATGGTTCATCTTTGTGGGTCTAGGATTCTATGTCTATGTGTGTCTTTGGTGCTGAATGCACTCACACTCAAAAGACGTAATGTTAGATTAGCGAGCTAAGCAAGGTAGAAAGGAGTTGAAAAGGATTCTTTGTTTCTAATAGCGATGGCCTCCAACCATGTTTGCAAAGGCCTTTTCACGTTGATTGGAACATGCCCAAGGGGCGAGGCATGAGCTTCCTTGAAGAACCCTTCACATGGTTAAAACGGTTCCTAGAATTGTATATTATAGGGAAAATTGAAAAAATGACAAGTCCAGGAGAATATTTGAACAAAAGGATAACACCATGGGCGGAGCAAACACTTCCCACAAAATTTCATGAACAGGTGAAGGAGACTTTGAATACATTTGCATTCCGATCAATATCGTAATTTTCTAGTGCACTTGCATTGGGACTGTGTTTAGTCTAGCTTTAGTTCCAAAAAACAATGCTGATCAAGCTTCACGCGGAGTACCCAAAACCTCTAGCTTCAGCAAGTAGGGTATAGTACAGTTTCAAAAAGCCAAGATACTGAACTGCTCACAAGCCCAAGAACACAATCTGAGAGGATCTGGGCCTCAGCTGAATCCTTGCACTGCTCCCTTATCCTATCAAGAGAGAAACAGGATGCCTGACAAACACCAGGCTCAATGCTGATCTGATCTCAAAGTGATCCTACCAATATGTACACATACAAATGTTAGACTCATACTTCAACCGCCGATTGTTTATGTTAGAACTACTTCTTGCATGCTGATTAAATGTCGGCTTTAACCTGGTCGCATCCAGTAGCAATATAGAATCCAATCCAGCTCGTCCGCTCAGTGACTCATGAGCTTGTGCTGACTCCCTCGAGCCTTGCGCCACATTTCGCGGCCTCCCAATTCAAAGTTCTTGGATGCCTGGCACGGGCACGGATGAAACGTGCGAAAGCCTGTGAAGCACTGAAACTTCAATACCGAAGCCTGTAAGCTTTAAGGGCAATCACGCAACAAGAGGTTCTGGTGAATGCACACACCAATCCTTCTCATCTCTCTCTTTTGTTTCTTCTCTTTCAATGAAGCTAGGATCACGAAAAAGTCAATGACAAAGGCCAGCTGTAGCAGTCCCAACAACTCGCGAAGCCTGGCTCTCAATGACAGTTGCTGGCCACAGTGAATTTCCAGTGATGCCCTGCCCTGGTGCAATGCGCGAGGAGTCAGAAAGCAATGCTAATAGTGCAGAACTCAACACTGGATGTCGTAGTAGTAGTAGTAGTAGTAGCAGTAGTAGTAGTAGTAGTAGTAGCACCTGTACTTTCTTGCTGCCCCAGGTGTTACAGGACTATCGACTGAGTTCTGGATTTCAGACTTAGGATGTCTCTGCACAATAAACGGGTTTGCACTGTTATTCACCCTGAAGTTGTCCATGGCCATAACCCTCCGTCCACCATTCGGAAGCAAAATTATCTATCTGCCAACCTTGTGTTTGTCTTAATTATTACTTGGTTACAGCAAATTTGCAGCAACATCATACGACGTCCCTCATCCAGTCGCCAAATCTGACGTCAGAGCCTCTAGAGCCTCTAGGCACATTACAAAAGTGAGTGCTTTCGCACGGTCCTGGAAGGAGTTGGTAAGTTCTGGCCGTAGTAGAGCTACTGATTTACTTAGATAGTTAGTTTTACTCAACTCAAAAACATTCCAAAGCAGAGTACCAGTATTGATAAGCGTTGCACGTAATCCATTCTCGACCTACCAGATTGTAGTAGCTGCAACTTGGAGAGAAAACACAAGGAAACACACCAGCAATGCCAGAAGAACACAATCACTTGCTTTGCCCAAATCCAACCCTTCCGTCTTAGCCTTCGTATTCCGCAGCAGCCCCCAAGGCTGACTGCAAAGGTTCACGGCAAAAAGCAAACTGGATAAGCAAACACAATCATATTATGATGTTCCAGCAAAACAGCCCTGATTCAGGAACCACATAATCATCGACATGTCATTGACATTGACATTAATCCTTCAGTATCTTCAATGGACCAGCTGGAACTCTGGATGCTGTTGCTTCCTCGCTGCAGCTGCCGAAACACAATGCCAAGGCCAAGCTCACTAAGATTTATTTAGGCAGTGGCGCAAGCGAGGCACATTGTTGTCGGGTGCATAAGGGAGACAATTGTACATCTTCCATTCGCTTCCGATGAGGTAACTTGCTTGCGCACAACATGGACGATACGGGTTTGGGAACAACATTGAAACACAAAACACACGCACAATCACGCACACGTATTACAACATATTGCAGTATACTATGAATTAATATAAGATCATAAGACCACTTGTACACGGCTTTTGAGAAGGAGGACACAACTTGAAAAAAACACAGAACATTGTTGGTCATGAGTCATACTGTCATACTAGCAACTCCGCCTTGGCAATATAGAACAAGTTTGCACCGGCTCTTGGCTTGCTTGGGCTCAGCTTTCAGAAAAAGGACAAAGACTCGGACATGAATATATATAGCACTATAACTTGCTTCACAAGAAGTATGGTTTGGTATGTCCGTTCGTCCGGGTGCATGGGGTTGCAGTTCAAGTCTTATTTGCAAGAGGTACCTAAGCCCTATGTGAAATGAATGGTAACCTGTGCATGGTTTGGACATGTTGGGATGGTAGTCAACTGGTACTATGGTTTGCAAACGGCTGACTGACTGCAACTGCGCTGCTGGTGGTGACACGCACGGCCAGGCCATCACTTCTGGTTTAGTCATGTATACTACCAGTACATAATGCCGACTTTTCATCGTAAGACTTGCTCCGCCAACATATTCAGTAGGCATTGCTGTGCATTCAGGTGCCAGTGTGTTGATAGGTTTTGAAGGGACAAATATGTATTATATAAGTGCCCGGGGCCGCCGGGGCTATTATGGGCTTTGTGCAAGTGCGTAGGTGGCACAGTATGACAGGAACCAACCAAGCTAGCAGTTAGCACTTGACCTCTGCAAATTCTCAGCACTGCCAGGATGATTGCACAAACAAAAGCCACCAGTGTCACGTGTCATCGAACTCTGCTGAGAAGTTTGAAAAGGAACCAAATTGTTTCTGTGGACACTGGTTTCCACACTGCAGCACCAACAGGCTTGTTCTAAGCTCTCCCTGTAAGCCAAAGGAGCCCGACCATAGTCATGCCAAACTTCGAAATGTTGTAGGCAGTGAAGCCCTTGTACCTATTTGGTCATTGTAAAGGAAGACTACAAAACAAACCAGCGGCACCAATTGCGATAATCGCTTAAATTCCTAAATCCTCTGCTGAACTGGAGCTGAGCACGCGGCGCACGAAAGTCGGTCTGCAACGGTGGGCTCATGTTGATGACCCGTCCATACCTGCGCGCGCTGCGTCAGGACCTTTGAATTTTATATATGCATTGAAAAGCTGACACCAGATCTAGTTGCACGCGATGGGAGCGCACTTGTTCTTGGCCATGATCGGCAAGCAAAGGTGGGTCATGGCGAAGCTGCCTCGCCTTAGCTGAAGCAACACGCCTATCCAGCAAATACTTACTCATACCTGTATTCATCCCAATGTGAATTCGCGGTAGGCTGTAGTATGGGATGTCGCACTTCTTGCACTGTGAGCTGCAGCTAGAACTGGGATGACAAAAGCGTGGTTTTCGGTCTGAGGATCATACGTATTGATCTGCGTGATCAAATCGTATTTGTTCATTGGGGTGTCTTCTATCCTGCAAGTAGGCTGGCATGTAGACAATCATTTGACCTGCGTCTTTCCAACACTTCTTGTCAAAAACACCAACATGTGAGCCTGTGCCCAGTCCACAAGTGGTCCAAGCCGGTCATAATCGGATTCAGTCTATTGAAAAGGAGGAGTACAAACACATTTTGATCAATCGATTTTGGGTTGCGGTGTGGAACATTCTGAATTTCTGAATGACACCTAACATAAAACCTTGGAACATTGGACTTGTCACAGAATCTGCTTCCTCTGCCACCACAGGGCACTGGCGTTGTTGATGAGAATGTCAATGCGACCAAACTTGTCAACCTCAAATTGCCGGAAACACACATAAAACCGGCAGTCGGGCGCCAAACCGGTTACCGAATCTATTCCAACAAGGCCCATCTCAGATATGCAGGGGCATGCGCTCCTTAACTGTCACATTCAACGGTGATGAATATCCTTTGGTCTCAGCGCAAGACGGTTTGTTTGACGCATTCCTTGATGTCTTCTAGTTTCCGCAAGTCCACCTGCCAAGGAAATGAAAACAACAAGGCCCTTCAAAAAAAGAAGGACTCAACATAAAAACATGAAGGCTAGACTGCTAGACCATTCATAAAAGGGGCACGTGTACGGCCTTGAAACGTTTCGCTATCATCGCTATCTTTCCAACCTTCAACCTTCAAACCCAACATTGTCAGCATAGCACCTTTTCGAATGACAATTCGGTTGCCATGTCAATTCAGTCCCGCTGTGCCTTCACAGGCAAAGCCTGCACACCAAGCTGTTGGAGCTCCTCGGCAAACGGTGCCAACACTTGGCCAAATCGCTTGAGAACCGTGCTAACACCCTGTCTCACCTGACAAACGCATGCCGCAGTCTACACAAAGCGACCGCGTCAATGAAGGTGCATGAACCGTTCGGTCAAACTGACATAAGAAGCCTGCGTTGAAGAGTTACTGTAACTGTTCTAAAGACAACGAAGCTCGTTTTTTGGCAGCTTTCCTGAACAACCAATTGATATATATATATATATTATACTATTTATCAATGATGATTTAATCAATGCCAAAAACCCTTATCGTAAAAAACACAACATATTCTATCGTTTGATTCAAGCAACTATGTTGATGGAACACATCAAGAGAATCGAGAGCAAGGACAATACGATCCTGATGTGAATGCTGCTGCTTATTGAAGTGAATATGCCAATTATATGTGAATAATATGACGATAACAACAATAATAACAACAACAACTTCAATAACTTACAATATCAATTGACAGCGGACAAATTGAACGGATGATTACTCATTGCTGTTCATGTCATGTTCATTCATGTATGTGTTCTTTGACTGACTTTTTGTACTCTGATGACGTTTCTTTATATGCACAGCCTATTTTAACTTTTTTCTTTTTGCTTTTGTCGTTGTTTGGACTCTTGAAGTGGCGAGTTTGGTATTCAGAAAACTCACACTTTTGATGGCTGTTGTACATCTTATTTGGCTGATGTATCTATTGCCGTGGTAGTAATAGTACATTGTTCGTGTTCGCATCCCTGAGTAGTATGCTCACCCACGCGTTTGCTTGTCGAGCATCTTCAGCCACGGAGTAGATTGTGCCTGGCCGGCAGTCTCGTTTTGGAAGGTCATCAAATCAGGACGAATCCTAGTCGCATGGCCAAACTCTCGGATTAGATCTGGAAGCAGTTGCAAACGGCAAAAATGTCGTGGCATGTAATTAATGTCAATCTTCTGCCTGGCAGTGTTGGCTGCTCGGTGGTGGTCTTAGCCGCCACCACAATGTTGCAGCCCTTTCCAGGCAAAGGCGCATGAGCCGCGCATGTATCAAATCAAATCTATATAAGTATTTCAACTTCGAAGCTGCTTCTGAACCAACCTTCACAAACTGGCACTCAAATCAGCTCAGCCCCACCAGTCACCATCTCCAAATCCGATAAATCGATTCAGCAAATTGTGTCAATGGAAAAGCTCCTTGTCCACCTGCCTTCCTTGGCCCCATTGTTTCTTTTTCTACTCGATGCTCGGAACGTTTTTAACAACCTGGGTACATGTGTTTCTTCTTTTGGGCGTGCTCCCAGAGCTGGCCAAGGTGGATCCCACCTGCTTGGCCAAGGCGATGGCGCATGCCTATGAAAGAATGGCACAGGTGGCAACACCAGGAACCTGTATTGAGCTTTATGTTTTTGTTCAATAAAGCACATGTTGTCAAATCGTTTGACAAGGAAACATGCAACTAGCAACTTGAACATGACGATTCGCAGCAGAAAAATAATCAGGATCCTCCTACAATGGGTTGCAAAAGGATGCAAAAGGTCAGATGTGTTTCCACTCAAAAAGTCTAATCAAGTGCAACAAAAACTCAAACATAGAATGGGTTTAAGTCTCAAAGGTTAGCGCGCCCAACCACACATAGTTATGTATATTCTTACACTAAATGAGTCATATATAATGGCAACATCGTGCCTAAGCACGCCCATTTTAGATTGTGGGTAGCAACAGGGATGAATCAGGCAATATTCTTTCTGTAGTCCCAGATTGGAAGGATCAGCGCTTTCTCAACAGCATTCGACAAGCTTGAAAACCAAATGCCTTTCCAATGCCACGAGTGGCTCCTGTGATGATGGCCACCTCCAAGAGCTTCAAACTTGTGTCGAGGAGTCAGAGTCTAGTTCAGTGCTATGGAACCAAAGGTCCTGCAAACTTGACATTGAACAGTTAATTACATCCCAAACAGTTAATGTGGTATAAATGGTCTCTTTGCTTTCTTTCATGAACCCTCGGGCCTTCCCAGTCAAGTCGGCAACCTTCAGCTTTGGGCCTTCACTTAGAAGTAGTGAAGTCTATATACAATCAAATCGGCCAACCAATTTCTGTTTGCTCACACCATTCTCATGCAAGTAACCAAACTTCATGAGACAAGAAAAAACACCACATGAGTGGGGGATTGCAAAGTAAACAGGGAAGCTACTTGCCAATGAACGGCATGAGGCATGAACATCACAACACCGCAAAAACTACAGCAAGTAAAGTGCAATGCGCTGTGTTGTTCGCATTGTCGGCTATTATTATCTGGGCTCTCTTCACAGTTGCTGACCAACACTGAGCATAGTCTTACACCTCTGGGCCTCCCAACTGAGCGCACCAGAGCTGGATGCCATGAGCTGCTGAGACAGGTGGAAAGAAACACAAGCTAACTCAACAAGCTGAAGCCAAAGGCTGAGAAGGTACAACGTTCACAAAAACTCCAAAACCTTCCAACTGCAGAACACCTACAGCTGCTCACAAAGATCCACAGCACCACGGCAGGAACGTCTACAGGAGTCTACAGTTCTCTTTCGGCCCGGCCCCACAATCTTTTTTGTTGCATTTCGATAGCTATATGTTGATTCCAACTAATTCGTCTCTTCTTGCTTCCGAATCCCAGGACTTCCATCAGGCCGGGGAGGCGGCTCTCCTTCTGGTAACAAAAGCAATTGCAGGACGCGGGGCTCTTGGAGCTTGGAATCCTGAGCAAAAAAAGCCATGGACAGGCAAAAGCAGCACTGAAAGTTGAAAGCATAGAACATATCAAAAATCATTTTGGCAGAATGCATATTGCACAACTAAGGAAAAACACCTTAGCTACGGCTACAGGAAAGTGAGCTTCACACCATAAAGGTTTTACTGAAAAGGTCATGTAGGTCACTGCTTGTCCAGTGTTGTGCACTTCCAAGTCTTCCACTGTTCGTTCCAATGCCCAACAGTGAAAGAGTCTCACACATTTTTGAGCATCGGCCAGTTGCCATTCATATGCTTGAGCTACAGCTCTTGCCAGGGAAAAGGTGCGGGTGTAAGTATTCTTCACCTTTCCCAGAAGGAGGGTTTCGACAGCAATGATCTCTCTGCTTGGAAGCCACCGAAGTTCCGTGGCAATGGCTTTGGCCAACGGAATAAAATTTGGGTGGCTCTTCTGACCTTGGTCAAAGCTTCTTTGGTTTCTTTCAACGTTTTGACCAGTTATTGGCCTTCAGTAACCAAGACGTGCTGCATTGTGTCGGCAGGATTGAATATTTTCAACCCACCTTCGACCCCTCGACCCCTCTTCGCCCCTCTCAGCGATAAATCTGCAATGTCTGCCGAAAGGCCCACTGGCAAGACCTTCTTTGGTCTTTTCTTGAAGGCTTCGGCTTCTCTTGCTTGCAGGAAGGTCAGGTGAAACATTGCCCTGTCCAAACAGTTTGGAGCATGTCATTTGACTCATCATCATAGGCTACACCATCTAATGCTTCAACAAACATAATTTCACACTTCTGCTCAAACCTGCACAAACCAAAACAATTACCTTCAGTGGCTGAGACTCTTTGCGGCTTACACCCTTGAAATACAGAGGTATTCAGACGTATAAAAAAAGATGTTTCGTTGCTTAAAATTAATTTGTCCGCACGATTTGTCTACGCTTTTTGTCTCCACACACTGTCTCTTCAATTTGTTTTCACACTTTCTCCCAAAACGCTTTATCTTCACACCACACTTCTACACTTTGACTATAATTACTTCGTCTCCGCACTTTGTCCATGCACTCTATCCGCACGCTGCACCTTTGGTGAGTGTGCCTTGCCCGACCTTGCTCCTAGGCCTTTACTCCTCCACCATTGATGTTGAACAGTTAAAGCGATCAAAATATACTGAACGCATGTCAAGTCATATTGTTAAAGATTGACGACCATTCCACTATCTTCCAGCAGTTTTCGACTTTTCAGTGTTATCTTCCAACCCGGGGCCTGGCGTCATTGGTCTCGCTGCTTGAATCACGTGGCTCAAACCCCACGAGCTCCAGTTGCTTAGCGGTCGCAAATTGCAAAAGAAAGGGCCGCTCACAAAGAGCAGCTGCTCGAAGTGCAATTGAGACCCCCTGCAGGATGTCTCCCTATGTCTCTTGCTTCGGCATATTTGATATGTCATGCTTAAAAACGGTGAACCATGAAAAACTATGATAAACCAAGCCTCTCCCCAGTCAAAACTTGAACTTTGGGGGTATCGACAATGTATTTTCACATTGCATGTTGTAATCATGCCTGACGTCCAGCAGCCCAGAGATCCACTTGAGAGCTGAGTTCACCGTTCGGCAGCAAAAGCTGCTGCTTGAGCTCTGACTGCACTCCTTCCAGGCAGCGGCGACCATGCACCAGCACATTCCGAGAAAAGCGTCTGCAGTGAAGCACACGGAGCCGCTCTCGGAGCCCTCGTTGAATCATAGCGTGCACGGACCACACAGGACGCTCAGGTTCAAAGACCTTTATGACTGGCTTTGAAGTGGCACCTGCGTCCTAAGTCCTATCTATGTCATCTATGTCCTTGTCTGGGGTTTGATTGCAAATTCAAAGATTTCAAAGGCATGCAGGATAGAAGTAGTGTGGGAATCATCCCAACAGAACGATTCATCACCACTCCATCGTGATCCAAATGCTTGTGACAATGGTGTCACTCATAGGTTTCTCCTGCCTCCTCATCTCTCTCTCTCTCTTTATATATTATATATATATTAGTTCCTAGGAGGTGGGAGTAACAACTGTGTCACACTTTTCCGAGTTCTGGAAACAATAGCGGCTGTCTGAACATTCATGAGTCAAGCACTGGAATCAGTTCATGAATGGTCATTGAAGTAAACCTAAACAGGAAGCATGTAGACCAGGAGACCCTAGATATCAATATAGTGCAGTGTTCACCATAGCATCTTCTGCTCTACAGTGCGAAAACAAAACTCATGTCATTATCCCATGCTGCCAGGACCCCACCTAAGAACAATCATCTCCTTTAAGAAAAGTCTATATCATATATCATTGCATCATATATCCTAATGCAGCCACCTAAATTGCAATATTACATAATCCACAAACACGCACCTTTGGAATGCGGGTCCCACACCCCGCTCAACCAAATGGGGAGAGCTCGCGCTATCGGTGGACCCCGAACACGAAAGGGAAGACCACGGCAAAACGCTCCTGTGAAACACCCTCGGGGTTGGGTGGTCTCCCAAATGTTTCAACCTACCACTCTGAGACCTGCACCTATTGGTAGATCAGGAAGTGCCTGACACCCCTTGAGGACCAAGCTGTCAATACCCCAGTATAATGTGACAACTCCGTACAGCTTTGGCCTCGGCCCTTTATGGTAAGAACACCATTTGTCACACGTGGCGCACCATCGAGATGATGAAATCGGAGGCTCTCTGCTTTGTCTGGGGTCCATCATATTCCTCATGTTCTCTCGTTTTTCACTGGATCGATGGCCCGATTTGGCATCTGTTCGAAAAGCCTCACCTTTCAATTATGCGCTGTGCTCCAACCCAAACATTGTTGGGTGCGTGTTCTCTGCCTCAGAACTCGCAACATACGTCTTTCGCAAATTGGTGTTTACGAGTATCACGACAAAAATATTGCCCCTTCCTCGGGCCCTTCTTGAATTTCTTCTTCGCAAAGCCTCCGTGCCCACAGGGGTAGGTTTGGAGGGCGAGGATTGAATTTCTCCTCTTCTATGGAGTCATCCGTTTCGTCCTGGTGGTTATCAGGCCCGTCGGGGTAGGGTTCCTCGTCCTCATCCTCATTGATAGGCTCATCCACTGCCACTGCCACCGTCTCATCTTTCTTTGCCCATGGAAGAGGCTCAGCAATCAGAAATTTGTCAATGTCCGGAAAAGGCAAAGGCCCCAGAATGTCGTCAGTTGCCTTCTCCGACGGCTTTGGTGGGCGGTCAGTCAGCCCTAGACATTCTGAAGGTCGAAACAGGGAGGGGGTGATAGAAGGAGTGGTGCCCTTTGTTCCGGTCGCCCCGGAAGCGGGAGACGTGTCATTTTGGAACACACGATTAGGGTCATTGTTGAACGTTTAGTGTCATGTTTGGAACACGTGATTAAATCAAACACCCATCGAATCGACTCACAGGGTATTATTTGGGTGGAGCTGGTCATTCTGTACATGCTGTACCCTGTATTAATAGATTCACCACGATTCACACTTCCTCTAACAAGTATCCAGTACCTTGAGGATCCCAATGGTATTAGTTTACCTCCTTCCAAGCGTGCGCTCAAATGGCAAGCACATGGACTAAGTTCGTGATTATCTACAGAACATTACCCGTACAAAGATGTGTTCATTCGCAGTAGCTCGATTGGGATTTCACCGCTGTCTCGTTGGAGGTAGGGCATCTCGACCCCGTACTCCTTGGGCTACTCATTTGTAATGTCCTAGCGATTCTGCAGCCGATAAATGTCCATCTCAATCCACGCATATGCTTCTTCGTGGCGAAATGGCTTACCCACTTCGTCAAAAGCTTCAGCGACAATTTTCTAAGCAGCTGAAACAAAAGAAGTATAAAACATGGTTATATATACAGTATAACCATTCTATTGTTTTGCCACCTCTGCCGTCGTAACTCAATCAATCATTGAATGTCTGTCTATCTTGCACTTCTGGCTTATAGTCTTGCGTGTCTCTTCTACTTGTCAACTTGATGGGACACAATCTTACTTTCTGGACTTTTAAGTGGCTCGAACAATGGGGTTTCCTTTATCCTAATTTATCCTATATGAGTGGCGGACGACGGACGAAACTTCTTTGCTTCTGCAGTGCCAGAAACAGAAGGATAGAGGTGTTGGACACAGCATGGGTGGGCCCTATCATCCACCAAAGGACAATGAAAGGATGATTGCAACACATAACTTAAAAAAACTGAGGGCGGCGAGGGCATGCAATATTTGGCGTGGAGATGCGACGGGCCAGCTTCAGCTTGAACAAATCTGTCGTGACAGGTGCAGCACGTTGGCAAAGTAGTCCAGATTTTGTTGCGCTGGAGGGGGTTGGGGGGGACGGTGCAGCGTGTCCCGCACAGAGCGAACTTGAATTGAACCAAACATGCATCAAGTCACCAGACTCCGAAGGCACCTCAACATAGATCATCATCGAAAACTACACGCCCCATTGCCCACCCAGAACGTGACACAAAAATTAGCAAATATGATACGAGGCCAGCAGATTAGGAAAGGACAAGGGGACCAAAGGACCCCGAGACCAAAGGACCAAAGGACCAGGAGACCAAAGGACCGGCGACCTATGGACTAGGGGACCTACTTTGGTGTTTTATATACTGTTTGATGCTATTTTGATTTTGTTGACCCTGTTCCTGTTCTTATTTGCTTGATCTATATAGATGCCCGTGTGGCCCACAAAAGGTTGGAATGGCTGCTTCCTGCACAAAATTTTGCCCTCGAGTGGCCCACAAAGGATATGCTCCAAGATGCTAGAATTGCTCCTTTCTGCTCTATACTTTACCCTCGGGTGGCCCACAGGTGGTGTGCTCCCGGGTCCCACGAATGGTGTGCTACAAGTTGGGAACTGTCTTTTTTTGCAGTGCTTTCTAAAGCCTTTCGCGCCCAGGCCCTCACTTTCGCAGCCCACCACCCACGCGCACTCTCACAAATACAATTTTGGGACGAAGGGATAACAACCAACACTACACGACCAAGAGCAAACACACAATAAAGAACCATACATACCACAGGAAATCAACCAAAAAAACACAAAATTACTTTACTTCGAGTGATCCCCACCATGACATTTCAATCATTTGTCTCGATGCCATAGTGAGGAGCATGTTGCCATAGTCGTCAGTATTGTAGTTCTCGATGTTGCTTGTGGGTCCTCGGGTTGTGTGCTGTGGTTGTGTGTTGTGTTGTGGTTGTGGTTGTGTTTGTGGTTGTGTGTTTGTGGTTGTGCTTGTGGTTGTGTGTTTGTGGTTGTGTGTTTGTGGTTGTGGTAGTGGTTGTGATTGTGTGTTTGTAGTTGTGGTTGTGGCTGCGGTTGTGTCTTTGTGATTGTGTGTTTGTAGTTGTGGTTGTGGTTGTGTCTTTGTGATTGTGTGTTTGTGGTTGTGTGTTTGTGGTTGTGTTTGTGGTAGTGATAGTGGTTGTGATTATGTGTTTGTAGTTGTGGTTGTGGTTGTGTCTTTGTGATTATGTGTTTGTAGTTGTGGTTGTGTCGTTGTGATTGTGTGTTTGTACTTGTTGTTGTGGTTGTGTGTTTGTGGTTGTGTTTGTCGATGTGTTTGTGGTTGTGTGTTTGTGGTTGTGTGTTTGTGTGTTTGTGGTTGTGTGTTTGTGTGTGTGTTTGTGGTTGTGTGTTGTGTGTATGTTTGTGGTTGTGTGTTTGTGATTGTGTCTTTGTAGTTGTGTTTGTAGTTGTGTGTTTGTGATTGTTTTTGTAGTTGCGTGTTTGTGCTTGTATTTGTGATTGTGTTTGTGATTGCGTTTGCGATTGTGTGTTCGTGATTGTGGGTTTGTGATTGTGTTTGTGGTTGTGTGTTTGTGGTTGCGCGTTTGTGGTCGTGCGCTTGTGATTGTGTGTTTGTGGATTTTATCTGGCAAACTATCTGGTTGAGGTCCAGCGGTGCACACTGCGATCGGATCCTTGCGGTTGAGGTCCAGCGGTGCACACTGCGATAGGATCCTTGCGGTTGAGGTCCAGGCGTGCACACTGCGATCGGATCCTTGCGGTTGAGGTCCAGGGATGCACACTGCGATCGGATCCTTGCGGTTGAGGTCCAGGGGTGCACAC